GTGATGAGTGTTTTCACAACGCTGGCTGACAGGCCTTTGAACTGCGGGAATCCGCTGACATATGAAATGCGCTGTTTCGCACATGCATGCTAACAAGCAGCCCCTGATGCTCTGGCACTCTTGATTATACCACAAACATGAAGCTTAGGATTGTGTGAACTGGGAGGAAGCTAGTGGAGAGTAAATCCACAACAGTGGCGAATGCTCTTGCAGACATGGTTCATTTAACAGCATTCATTTTCAGAGACTTCTGTTCAAGATCATTTCACAAACACACTTATAAGGTCAAAGTAGAGTGAGAGGTGTACTGTGAGTAGAGGGAAGATTGAGTTTCAGAGTGTAAAATTAACTACCTTGATGGTAGAGTGATTGCTAGGGTATTGCAATATGGTTGCTAGGGCGTGGCTATGTGTACCTGCTGAAAAAAAAAAAACAGCAAATGCTAGTTTTGACATATGGCGCTAGTTTAAGCTGGTTCTTGCTGATTCTGAGCTGGTTTAAAGATTCAAGAAACCCTTGAGGACTTTTTTTTGAGATTTTAACAGATTTATGTGTGTTGTGCATCAATTAAAACAACAAATGTGAGCTTTAATTGTGGGGGAAACTGAATCATTTTAAGCTTTGTATGCCAATTTCGCCATTTTTCATTTCATTTCAGAGGTTGCCACAGCGGAATGAACCAACAACTATTCCAGCATATGCTTAAATAAGCATCAAACACTGAACAAGTTAATCAAGAATAGAATTTTATAGGCATTTGAGAACCGGCAACTATTTCTGCATGTTTTACACAGCAGATGTCCTTCCAGCCACAACCCAGTAGTGGGAAACACTCATTCACACACACACTCATACACTACGAACAATTTAGTTTATCCAATTCACTTAAAGCTCAGTGGGGAATACCCATGTGAACATGGGGAGAACATGCAAACTCCCCACAGAAATGCCAACTGGCCCAGCCAGGACTCAAACCAGCGACCTTCTTGCTGTGAGGTGACAGTGCTAACCACTAAGCCAACATGACACTCTCTAATTTCATCTTCCGGGTTTAAAATCATGATTGGGACGGGATCAAAATCTGTGACGTAGCACTCAACTGCAAGTAGATTGATTACACGTTGGTGCTTCATTAATTTTTACAAACTGAGTTTTCTTTTCCTATGAGAAGACCCAGCTTATTAATTATTCATGACTGAACGTGCTTTCCAACAACAGACCCACCAAATTCTGAGACAAAGTTTCAGCCTACAATTTTCATTTCGGAACATCTCTAGCTCTAGAACATTGTCAGGACATTTTTGAGTTGTTGGTAAATGCCAGGGCATTGTTATGTGTTTCCCAAGATCTAGGGTGTTCTAGATGATTAGTAGAACATTGTGCTCTTGGTGAATCTGGTACACAAGCAACCTGCCACTTCAGTGCTAAGGTGTTGTAGGTCATTGTTATGGCAAGTAGTTATAAAAGTATTTTGCTGTCTAATAAGTTACAATGGTCTTAGTTGTTGTCGATTTGATGTTATACAGTTTCTAAAGTCTTGGCAAAAAGTACAAAAGCTGTCACTGTAATGTTACATCTTTGTACATTATAATCCCTAAAGAAATCAAATTGGCAATTTAAAGGTATAGATTAAACACCCAAAGTGTGTTTTTTTGTACCCACTGTTTGCAACCACTAGAAAATGTAGAAGCAGGTACATGTATAAGGTTTTCCCAGGGGTTGGTAGAACATTATGAAACAGATTATAGAGAGCATGTGTTCTTATCTCTGGTCCTCCACTGTAATTTACTAAGGGGGGTATTTATACCTAGTCACTTTGTGCATTTTCTTTGATTGGATGTCTTTCTGATTTTTAAAAACGTTTTCATTTACTTTTAGCCACATAAATCTGGATAAAAATCTAAACTTCAAATCCCACGCTACATGCAAATTTTTTAACTAGGTTTCGTTGACTAAGGAGTCAGGCATGTATTTTATTAAATTATTTTGATGTAAGCTACAACGTAACCTTTACATCGTATACAACATACAATTCATTTGATATTTAGGCCACAGGAGGCTTTGTAAAACACCAGCACAAATGCATTCTGTGCTGTATTCCGTGATTACCGAAATTACAGGCTAAATTAAACATCCATTTTTGTCATACAGATACATGCAAGACATCATTTAAAACTGTAAAGGGTTAACATTAATTTGTGTACAGACTACTCAACCAAAAATAAAACACTGTGACTCTGTAAACAAACGAAACACCATATTTTTATTTTATCTTTCCTCTCCATTCACAGAGGTGACTTTTTCTCATGTAAATGCTGCCATTTGATATAAAAGTAACATTGACATCTTATTTTACCGCTTAAAGGTTAATAATCGGTCAGTATGAAAATGAAATGAAATAAAATGAAACAAATTGCCATATGTGGTGCTGCTGTTGCATTTTGCATAAGCACTGTTATGCGACTATGTTTAGCCTGTAACATGCTCTCTCATTTATTTATTTATTAATTTTGGTAGGAGTAAATTTTACTTTTTCACTCAAAATGTGCTTTCAACAACCAGATGCATTTAGACCTGTCCAGCTTAATCAGGAATGCATTCCAGACCACCTCCTAAAGTGGTTTAAGTTATCAAATTTATATTAGACTCGAATGCATTTTGGAGGGCATTTTCACATGATCAGACAGCTATCCAATCTGACAAAAATGCATGAATTGTGTGTAAGATGTAAACAGTCCTGACGAGTTTAGTTAACCCTAAACAATGACATCTGAACAAGCTAACTAAGGTCTTTCTTTTTACCAGAAAGTTACAATAAGGGTGCCTGTCCACATAAGTGTTTTTTTTTTTTTTTGCTAAAGAAAATTGAGCACTGTTCTTTTTCTGTTCACCACTTTTTAAAAATGCTGGCAGTGTAGCAAGGCACTAAGAGTGCATTTTATTTGCTTTGTTTTATAAAATCTCTGACAGCTGGAGGGTTTTATAAAAGGCACTCACATTTCTAAAGCTGCGGTCACACTGCACTTTTCGCCCCATAGACTTCCATTCAAACACATGCAATGTGTAACTAATCAATGGCTCACTATAGGTACATTTAGGGAAGTGTGTTTTCAGCAGTGGTGGCAAGGATGCTCAGTGGATAACACTATCAAGAAGGTCACTGGTTCGTGTCCTGGCTGGGCCAGTTGGCATTTCTGTGTGGAGTTTGCATGTTCTCACCATGTTCATGTGGGTTTCCTCCAGGTGCCCCAGTTTCCCCAACAGTCCAAAGACATGCGCTATAGAAGAATTGGATCAACTAAAATTGGCCATAGTATATGAGTGTGTGTGAATGTGAGAGTGTATGGATGATTCCCAGCATTGGGTTGCGACTGGAAAGGAATCTGCTGTGTAAAACATATGGTGGCACAGTTGGTGGCTCATTCCACTGTGGCGACCCCTGATAAATAAGGGACTAAACCGAAGGAAAATGAATGAATGAATGAATGTTTGTGCGGCGCAGTGGCATAGTTTGTAGTGCTGTCATTTCGCAGCAAGAAGGTCGCTGGTTTGAACCTTGGCTCAGTTGGTGTTTCTGTGTGGAGTTTGCATGTTCTCTCTGCGTTTGCGTGGGTTTCCTCCAGGTGCTCCGGTTTCCCCCACAGTCCACAGACATGCGGTACAGGTGAATTGGGTAGGCTAAATTGTCCAAAGTGTATGAGTGTTTGTGTGTGGATGTTTCCCAGAGATGGGTTGTGGCTGGTATGGCATCCGTTGCGTAAAAATGTGCTGGATTAGTTGGCGGTTCATTCCACTGTGCCGACCCTGGATTAATAAAGGGACTAAGCCGACAAGAAAATGAATGAATGAATGAATTAATGTTTGGAGCAGGTTAGAAGTAAATTCATGAGTTTAGCTCCAACCCTGTTCAAACTCAATTGAATAGCTTGTCTAGTGTTTGATTAGGGTTGGAGCTAAATTCTGTAGCGGTTGAGAACCACGTGCTAAACTAATGCTGATTCAAGCAAAGCTTATCACTTCTGTACCAAAGTTGTGCAACGGCTCAACGGCTCAGGGCAGCCAAGGTAAAACAGTTGGATTTGTGATCCAAAGGTCAGAGGTTCAAATCCTGGCCCTGGCATGGATTGTAGATGGAAGAAATTAATAACCAGGAATTTTTTCCATAATCAATACCCTTGAGTCCTTTGAGCAAGAACTAAATGAGTGGTAAGGGTTACTAATGTACTTTCAAGTGTTTACTAGTGTGGTCTGAGTGACTGCTACACTATAAAGTAGATAAGTGGTTGTCTGCAACTTGAGATTGGTGTCTAGAACATTGCTAACTGCTTTTCATTGTGTTCTGGGTGTTGGCTAGGGCAACTGTGATTAGTTCTAGATGGTTGACAGGTGACAGTTCACCAGAGCACAGCACGAAATGTAACCCCAAGTTTCTACAACAACAGCTTTAAACTTCCTGAGGGGCTTACCTTCCAGACCTTACCATTTGATTAGGGTTGAGCTAAACTGCTCTCCGCTGAACAGTGTTTGCTGCTTTTGCTCCTCAATGATTTTGTGTGACCTGTTTTATTGTCTATCAAAGAAAACTGTCCAACTACTTAAAAAACCAATAGCGCATTTCTCTTCGAACAGTTGCACCTACAGTATGGGCAATACCATTAGTCACGCTTAACTTAAGAATGAAGTGAATGAAAGCAACATATTGATATACTCTTTACTGTACATTAGTTCCCGATTGTCCCATTCAAATCATAAAACAAGATATCTGATTGTTACTTTGCTTAGCTGCTATTAAGGTCCTGCAGTTAAGCTAATGAACTCTGAGGAACATTGGTCTTTTATCACAAAAGACTTTCCAAAAGCAATAAGCCATTTCCCCTCCACATCTTGCTTAATACGACTTCTATGGTGGAAATCACTAAAACACAGCCTCTGGACCAGTTTGAAAAGTAAAGCAAACAGAGTCGAAACATAATAAACAGAAATGAAAGATAAGCACTAACCATTTTCCTTGCATTCTTCGGGGGGCTTTGCTTTCTTTGCGAGCCGGGGGTCCAACCAGGATGTTGTCTTCGTATTGTGGCTGGAGAGAAGAGAAATGAAGCAGAAAGAGAAAAGAGATTAAGAAGAAGCAAGAGAGAGAGAGATGAGAGTGCAGCAAACTGCTACTGTAAATCATCAAGCAGAGGAGACAAGAGAGACTGAAAGGAAGTCTCCGGAGATCTCATCTCTAAACGAGGGTGAGAAAAAAGTTTAGCTTAACAAAACGGCTATCGATACTTTTAATTAGCTGTAAGCTTCTCATTAGCACAGCATGAAAGAGGAGGAGGAGGAGAGACGCGCTGAGGAAGATGTGATTGACTCACTCTATGAGCGAGGAACATTTAACCTGAGTGGAAATAAAAGTTTGGCACGCATAAAGTGTTTCTTTTTCTTTTTCCAATTTGGGTTTGAGACCAATCCAATAATAAACAAATAAATAAATAGTAGTTGGCAGAATTTGGTGCCTTACATGCTCATAAACAGCTAATTAATTGCATTCAAAAATTTGTCTTAGCCTTCCATAAAGTTTTGACAGCATCTGAAATGTTGAGTCATAGTCCTCTAATGACGGCAATCTAAATGAGAGTCACTACAGCAACTTGATGACGCAAATGTGTGTGTGTGAGAGAGAAAGAGAATGTTGATTCAACCCTTCTCTGTGTTTCATAAAATATGAACATCTTGTTAATCAGTCAATTATGGTAATTACCTTTACATTCATTTGGTACAATTATGTTGAGCTGATTCTCAAGTGTACGCAGTCCAGAAATGTCCACATTTACTGAGCAATAACTATGGAAACATTTTTTTTTTTTTCTTTTTGTTTCAGGTAAACCACTATTAACATTAGCATAAGAAGTAGTGTGGATTTGTATAGTACTCTAAATGTCAATGTGGGTGCGAGATTTTGATACATGCTGGATTTCAAGATAACAAAGTAAGTTCTATAAAGTTGTTCTCATCAGCAGATTTAGTGATTTGGGGGCCCTAATCAATTCCAGCCTTGAGGCCCAAAAGTCCTAAAATGCACCTTTTACATTTTATTTTATTTTTAAACAATTTATTTATCTGTTTTTATTTCTACATTTTGTCTTAATGCAAAATAATAATAACAACATGTAAAGGATTTGTATTTGTTTTCTTAAAATGAACAACTAAAAATGATATCTAAACTATTAGTTTTTTAAAACTATACTTTATTTTTACTATACTATAAAACTATATTTTTAATCCTGATTTGACTGCTGAATTCCTCCATGATTTAGGGTGGGGATACATTTGTGCAGGTGTAATAAATGTTAAACTTTTATTTTTTAGACCCTCATCATACAAAATATGATAGAAAATTATGTTTTTTAAAATTTATAGATGTAATTTATACTTCTAGGTATTTATTTGGGGGCCCTTAAATTTCCTGGGGCCCTAAGTGGCCGCTTACCTTGCCTTTTGGTTGTTATGAATGTTATGAATGAATGCTGTCTGAGAGGTAAAAATGCAAAGTTTGTCTTAGTTAAAGTTAACCTAACATTCTATGTAACTATAAAAAAAATACAAGCTTGTTATGATCTTTATTTTGAAAATGTCAATACCAATCCTTGCTTTTTCACACATCTTGTAACAAAATTGTCTTTGTCCATTTGAATTACCTGTATATTTTTTGCTCCATTAAGTTATTTTGGCAATAGATTCCACAAACATTGACAGCAAACATGAGTGGCACTCAACATCCACATTTCTTAACGGCATGAATCCAGCATCTACGGGTAATAATAGAAGTATTGCACAATCATTTTAAATATTTTAATGCTAAAATCTTAAAAACTTTGCCTTAAATGTAAAAAAAAGAAAAAAAATTAAGGTAAAAACAAAACAAAAAGCATAAATAAATAATAAATAAATAAGAAAGAAAGACAGAAAGACAGAAAGAAAGAAAGAAAGAAAGAAAGAAAGAAAGAAAGAAAGAAAGAAAGAAAGAACGAAAGAAAGAAAGAAAGAAAGAAAGAAATACATCAAATAAACAAATGGAAAAATAGAAAATAAAAACAAATCAAAAACTAAAAGTAAAAAAAGGAAAGAAAATACAAACAAAAGCAAGAATGAAACAAACATTAAGAATTAAAAGGGAAAAATCATGGAGAAATTATTTTTGCTGGAAGCATTTTTATTCATGCATACTATAGATACATTTCGTATGTTTTGAGGCGTAGTGTCTTCCTCCCTGAGGCACATTTTTTATCTAAAGCTGCTGAAAAAAAAGAAGAAAAAAAAGAGAAAACTCTGAGAAAGCTCTGAGATCAGTGGGAGAAATGTAGGCTCCACTGTCTCTGTAATGGGACTCAACTGACGGCTCCATGCCAAGCGACTGGCCAGAGAAATTGCAGCCAGGGGCGAAAAGATGGTGCACCTTTGATGTGCTTGCTATCTATGACACTCCACACACTTCTGCCCCGCGTCTCTGTCTTTTAGTTTGTGTCATCCTCCCTAGCGACTCTTGCTGTTTCATCTGCCTCTTACAGAAAAGAAAATGTACTTAATATAAAACCATATTAAAGGACGCTCTATTGGCATGATGCACTTCCGCAGCTTATGTTTAGTGGCTTTGGGAGTTTAAATGTGACTAAATGCATGTAAAAAAAAAAAACGCTTTGTCGTGATTAATCTGGTCCAGTATGACTGAGTGCATTTGTGTGTGCGCTCGTGTTCATGGTGAGAAACAGACATATGGAGAAGTGTCTACAGTTTGAGAATTAAAGACGCTCCGTCTGTGAGGGAGATCGAGAAAAACAAGGCGCCATTGGCTGCTTGACAACTCCATTAAATCCCCAATAGTCACACTGTGTGGGCTAGTGCAAACTGTATGTGTGTGTGTGTTACATGAAGCAGTGACAGACTGTCCTCGCATCATTCGGAGTCACTCACATACAGCTTCGATACACCAGAAAATAACTACTGTCCCTGTAGAAAAAACAGAGCTGTGGAGTCACACTTTGAGAACTGAACACACACACACAATTTTGTGTACAAGATGACATAGCATATGCGAAATTGTATGTGCGTGTGTGTGTGTGTCTGTGTGCGTGTGTGTGTGTGTGCTGGTTTTAGTGATTTACAAAGACAGAAATTTGTATAATGACATGGGCATGGCCAACATTGTAATGGTGGTGTATGTGTCCTTGTAATTTAATCATACTTTATTAAATTACCTAACATTCCCAACTTAACATACGTCACATTTAAAATTTGGTTGGGTTTAAGGGTAGAAACATACAATATGGAGTTTTTGCAGTATAAAATGCATTACACCTAAGGAGAGTGCTCATGAAACACCACATTTTGCACATGAGTTAAACTTAGCTGTGCAAACACTAAACTTTGCTCTGGTCCACACCGGTCATGTTCTGGTAACTCTGGTAAAATATAATTCAAGAGTTCACACTTGATGATTGGTAATAAGCTTGTTTTGTCAAAAGCCTTGATCCCTGGGCTCCCTCCCGTTAACATGTGAGAGGGGAGTTTGAGCTCAGGTGGATATAAGATCTCTAAGGAGATATACAGCTTGCTAAGAGCTCGACTATGATGTCAATTTGGTATGTTCAATTTATTTGGGTTGCGTGTTTTTTGGACTGTGGGAGGAAATCGGAGAACCTGGGGAAAACCAACTTGAGCACAGAGAGAACAAGAAAACTCTGCACAGATATGTCAACTGGTTTAGTAGGGACTTTAACCAGAGAGATTCTTGCTGTGTTGCCTATTTAGAAGGGGAGAAGGGGGGGAGGGGTATTCAAGACGAAGATACTGAAATAGGAAAAGTCCTATTTACAGTGATTTAGGAATCATCTGATTGGTGAATCAAGCGTTAGCTAACGAGGGACTAGCCGTGAACAATCATATGCAAGTGATCCTCTCGAAATTAGTTTAGAAATATAATTCACTTAATAACAATTAAACAAAATATATAAAAAACGAAATACAAATGTGTTTACAAAATAAAAATTAAAACGATACAGTAAAATTTAAAAAGTAGTATCAAAATAAAAAACTGATTTATAAGTGTAATACTACAATAATCACATGTTTTTTGTTGCCTTTCCATCTAATTATTCTCTTCAGACATCAAAATTTCTCCACACAGAATTGCTACTTTCTGGATATTTACTCTCTCTTTTCTTTAATTATTAACTATAAACCCCTTCTGACATTAAGAACCATGTCACAATTTCCAAGTCCCAAGTCCCTTAAAGAGATATTTTTTCACCCCAAAATAAAAATTCTGTCATTATTTATAGTTTTCATCTCCCACTTGTTCCAAGCCTGTTGAGCTTCTTTCTTCTGTTGGACATAAGGGAAGATAATTTAAAGTATGTTAAAAAAAATCAACCATTGGCTTCCATTTTATTCTTACTATATATGTCAATGGCTGTTTTTTCCCAACATTCTTCAGAATATCTTGTTTTGTGTTCAACAGAAGCACTTGATTGCAAGTAAAAGGTGAAGACATTTTCATCTTGGGGTGAACAATCCCTTTCACCATTCTTTCTCAGTCTTATTCACATGCAATGAGGTGATGCAGTGCAAACTGGCTGATAAGATATTTGCATTAACAAGCAGTTGAATGGGCGTCCCTTTATGGCCAGTGGGAATATACATTGGCACTATTACCAAATGTAGTAAACAGACTGGGGTGTTGAATGGAGATGCTTGTGAATATCTGTTATAGATCATGACAGCTGTGATTCATGAAATGAAGATCAAATGATAAATGCTATAACTGGGCATATCTCCAGAAATGCGCAGCGCTGTCAAGTAGATTTTCAGCATTTAAAAGAGACAATTCAGGTTGTGGATTGCTGTGGTGTTGGCTGCCTTGATTTATTTAGGTGATTCAGGTTTTAAATTAGTCCACCACACATACAAACCTGATTCCAAATAAAAGTTGGGACATTGTATAAATTGTAATTAAAAAGGAATGCAATAATTAGCAAATCTTCTAAACTTATATTTTATTTACAATATAATATAGATAACATATCAAATGCTGACAGAGAGACATTTTAAAATTCCAGGCCAAATATTGGCTCCTTTTGGATTTCAAAACAGCTAAACATTTGGGACAGGTAGCAATAAGAGGCTAGAAAAGTCAAATGCACATATAACAGCTGGAGGACCAATTTTCCACTTATAAGGTCAATTTGGAACATGATTGGGTATAAGAAGAGAAGTGCCAAGAGGGGTCAAGACGGGCAGAGGATCACAAATATCCCCAATGCTGTGCCAAAAAATAGTGGAGCAATATCAGAAAGGAGTTTCTCAGCAAACAATTGCAAAGGGTTAGAAGTTATCACCATCTACACAGTGCAAAATTTCTTCCAAAGATTCAGAGAATCTGCAACAACCTCTGTGTGTAAAAGTTAAGGCCATAAAACCAAACTGGATCTTCAGGCCCTTAGAAGGCACTGAATCACAAACAGGAATGCTACTATAATGGAAATCACAATATAGGCTCAGGACTACTTCAAGACAATATTGTCGGTGAAAACAATCCACCATGCCATTCGCTGCTGCCGGCTAAAAGTCTATAGGTCAAAAAAGAAGCCATATTTAAACATGATCCAGAAGCGCAGGTGTTTGCTCTGGGCCAATGCTCATTTAAAATACTCTGTGGCAAAGTGGAAAACTGTTCTGTGGTCAGACAAATTCATTTTGGGAAAACTGTAACACCATGTCATCCGGACTAAAAAGGACAGGGACAACCCGAATTGTTATCAGCTCCCGGTTCAGAAGCCTGCATCTCTGATGGTATGGGGTTGCATGAGTGCGTTTGGCATGGGCAGCTTACACATCTAGAAAGACACCATCAATGCTGAACGGTATATACAAGTTCTAGAACAACATATGCTCCCATCCAGATCTCGTCTCTTTCAGAGAAGTCCTTGTATTTTCCAACATGACAATGTCAGACCATTTACTGCATCAATTACAACATCATGGAAGCATAGAGGACGGATCCAGGTACTGAAATGGCCAGACTTGCAGTCCAGATCTTTCACAAATAGAAAACATTGGTACATCATAAAGAGGAAGATGTAGTTTAGACATTTGACATGTCATCTATGTTCTATATTGAATAAAATATTAAAATGAGGACCTTCCATATCATTGACTATCAAAATTTACAGTGTCCCAATTTTTTTAGAATCAGGTTTGTACATTATCTGAAATTAGAAAGAACATTGGACTACTCATTTAAAATGAATATGTTGGCTTTTTGCCTCCTTTAATTGACCATTTTTTATCTCACATGAAGAAAAAGACTCAATAATGACCGGTAAAATCCATGCAACACACACACACAGACTCTCTTCTCTAGACTTAAAAATGCACTTATTGTAGTAAATTTAGGTTTACTTGGAATTCCTTAATTCCATTTCCTTCATTAGAAGGAAAAGTCACTAATGGATGCCACAGTATTACTGTAAGTACAGTTAACCATGGATATGTATTCTTTATGTTATTAAGATCTCAATATGCCAGCACCCAAAATGACATATTGTCCATAAAAAATAAAAATAAATACTAATAACAATAATAAACTTGCATTAGCTAAATGTTATGACTGGCTTCTTAATGGTTGTTTTCTCATCCCATGGGAGTGTTTTTACACATTTTTCCAAAAATTACTTTTTAAAAGTAATTTTTTAATGGGAAAAATTCTGAATGCACCTTTAAATAAAGCTAATTATAATCTATAACTCAAACTCGAACTGTAAGCAGCCTTTTTCACACAGTGTGATGATAATGATGTCTTTCCACAGTTATTAGCATTGTAAATCTCGCAACAGGTTTTAATATTTTCACAGAAAAAAAACAACATTTATAATGCAGCCTTTTCCCTTATTAAATGAAAGAAAACTAGTTACAGCAGCAGTGTGATTGTTTCGTACACAACGGCTGATCTTTATTTGTATCTGATAAGACACTATACATTGTTTATGTGTTTTGACAGCCGAAATGACTCTCCTTCACATACAGTAGAACTGCAAAAACTAATTAAAATAATGTATTATGTGCTTTTTTGTAATATGTGTGTTTTTTCAGGCAAATGTTTTTTTTCCATTAAATACGTTTGTCATCCATATTTGAAGTGCACTTTTCTTTAGAAACTTTAGTGTTAACACATTATTAGTGCTTTTTTTTTACAACCAAACAGCATAGAGTAGAAGAATAGAATAGAATAGAATAGAATAGAATAGAATAGAATAGAATAGAATAGAATAGAATAGAATAGAATAGAATAGAATACGCACGCTGGGACATACAACTTCTCTCTTCTGAGAAAATGAATCCATGTCTACATTATTTGTAGTTCATTTATATATTTAATCTATAGAAATGTATGCAACAAAAGCATGAAAAGTGTTCAATAATGTGAAATAATATATATATACTCACTCTATAAAGTACACTTCTCCTTTCTCAGTGTATGCCATCTCCCAGTTATCTGGCAGAGGACCCAGTTCATCGTTTTCATCTGGTTTGGGTGGCGATTTTGGTGGTTCTGTATCTTCTTTAGGGACATCTGTGGAGGTCTCGGAGGGGCATGTGGTAGCCATCTCTCCTGAGGCGTCTGTACTCTTGTCTTCATGTTCACTTGACTCTAAAAAATGGAAGAAAATTTAGAAAAAAAAAAACGCTTTTAATAGAAGCCATTTGTACATGTATATGGGCTGTAGACTTTACTTTGTATTTTCACTGTCAAACATGACAAAAATGTATAATACATTTTTGAGCTAAATCTTAAATGATGTGATATGATGTGACTGTCTCAATAATAGTTCAATAAATTACAGCTCTTATAAATAAAAAAAGAAAACCCTTAAATCCTTAATAAATACCTCATGGCTATAATTTAAGTGTCTATTTAGTAAATGCAATCATAGGAACATAGAAATAATAAAAAAAACTTTCATATACAATTTCATATACAATAAACAGCACTTTATGAAGATAAGCATCCAACAATTAAGATAAATCACTCTCACAATATTTGTATAATATTAAGAGTACATTTTTGCCATGTCACACCATAGAAAGCACCAAAGGTGATTTGATTAACCTTTTGTATTTTCACAAACATCATACTTCAAACTCCATAAACATACTATATACATTTTTCCTTCCAAAAAAATTCTTTCTAAAAACAATTTTTAACTGTCTATATGTCAAATACCCATGTAAAATACCCAGTTTCAATGGGAATACCTGCAAATGGCTGCATTTTTGCAAACCATAAAATATGTGCCTCCAATGGCTTCTGCTTGCAGCTTTTGTTGCCAAATCCACTAAAGGCCAGTGTTTACATTTCTGCCAATATCAAATATGTTACAGAGCCAAATTTCTCATGCATGCCATTTGCATGTCCTTCTTGTGTGCATCTGCGAGAACCAGCTGTATTTTTGTGCATTAATAGCCTTATGATCAACTTAAATACACACCCCTTCCCTAAACCCACCCCAAACAAGTAGAGAAAAGCATCACGGGCGCATACTTTTATCATGATTTCACATGGCTTTTTTGTTTTTAACTGGTTTCTGTAACCGTCCAGTAATTTGATCCCAGTCCAAATTACAACATCATACAAGGCGAGCTACTGAGCAAACTGACCGTTTGGTAAAAGCCCCCAAAACTGACAGCGGCTGACGTGAACGCATTCCGTTATGGATCAAGATGCGTAAAGAACCAAGCAAAAACTATTCTTTATCCATTGATAACTTGTTCTTTTAAATGATTCATTTTTGAATAAAAGTAGACAGTGTCATATCACCCTGTAGTGTTTGTATTATCCAGAAAAGACAGGCAAACATATGCAGAGGCACATATTTGCAGTTCCCCAAAAATGTAGCCCTTAACATGTATTCCCAATGAGTCTGTGTTGATATATACTTAAACTTTCAGCGTCCTCTAAATGAAACATCTAAAAACAGTAAATGTACTTTAGGATTAACCATGAAACTGTTCACACTTTAAACGAAAAACATCTAAATACAGTAAATGTGCTTTAGGATTATTTGCAAGACTGTATAAACCAAATGTTGTTGCTCTTTTAACAAGAGCAACGGCAGACTTACATCCCAATTCAAACATCCATCATTTAAAAAAGAACCAGGCATTCGAAACAGATAAAAAGAAGATGAATGGCGTAACAAAAACTCAACAGAAAAATCCCCAAGAAGAGCTATGCTTATAAGAAGAAGCGGTCAATTTTCACAAGAACCTAGTGCAATATTCTGGTAGACTCTCATAGTCTGAGACTACAGAGAAAACCGGTGAGTGTGAGTGAGCCAGACAGAGAAAATATTTATAAGAGAGGGAGATGTAACTGAGATTTGGAGTTTCTGAAAGAATTGAAAAGCAGGTCACTGTAAGAGGGCCATGCAGGAAGAAGAATTGTAAGAGAGAAAGATTGTAAGAAATGATAGAAGAACAGACAGAGATGGAGATGGTTAGCCGGACTGAGACGGTGCAGTAAGACTGGGGTGATTAAAATGGAGTCTGCGGTGAGAAATCCAGAGAGAAGAAGAGGGGGGAAATAAAATAAAGAGAGACGAACGTGTCCTAGTTTGAGTTATGGAGGATGGAGATCCCCAAGGAGAGGAGCAAAAGACTGATGGAGGGGAAAAGAGAGAGAGACGAAAGAGAAAGACACTGAATCCCATAACATTCAGCACTACTGATGTTTTAATAAACATAGACATACACACACACAAACACACACACTTGTACAAATATATTTTTGGGGATTTCCCATAGACATAATTTTATGCATGTATTTATACTAATTTCAATTTAATTAAAAATGTTTTTTTTTGTACAAACTGTATAGTTTGCCACCATTCCACAACTCTATCCATAAATCTAACCTGGGGTGCGTTTCTTAAACAACAATGTAACTCATGATTGAACAACCATAGTACAAATGCATTGGTTAGGAAAAGAATGATATAATGATGAGTGTTGCCCAAAACTGTAATTGCTTTGTCGCAGATCCATTATTTAAACCACCTCAAATATAACTTAAAAAAATTCTAAATAAGGCTCAAAATGGGTTGGAGTAACAACTTGTTTAGAGAAAAACCCCACCCTTTTATTGTGCAAATTATATTGTTTTACACGCCCATGCATTTCTTTACAATAATAAAATATTAGGCTAGTTTTGGTAAAAAAAGAATGCACTTGTTTTCCATATTAATTGCAATTAATTTAAACTGCACATATTCTAATCTCATATATAAATCATATAAATCGTTAACGCGTGATTCTCACAGGGCATCAGCGTCAATGCTTGACGAGGGGTGTGTCTGAAGTTGGGGCTGACGCGATCATCATAGCAGCATCAGCCAACAAAACAAGTCCCCAATCGGCTACTGTCTGAGCTAAAGTATTTAGATCCACAATTCAGTTCGGGAACGATTGACATCAAGCGTCTTTTCAAGACACTTCTATACAGCTTAAAGTGACATTTAAAGGCTTAACTAGGTTAATAACGTTAACTAGGCAGGTTAGAGTAATTAAGCAAGTTATTCTATAACGATGGTTTGTTCTGAAGACTATCGAAAAAAAATATAGCTTAATGGGGCTAATAATTTTTACCTTAAAACATTTTTTATAAAATATAAAACTGCCTTCAGTCTAGCCAAAATAAAACAAATAAGACTTTCTCCAGAAGAAAAAATATGATGAGACATACTGTGAAAATGTCCTTGCTGTTAAACATAATTTGGGAAATATTTAAAAAAGAAAAAAATCCAAAGGGGGCTAATAATTTTGACTTCAACTGTAGTGTTGGCTAACAGTTTAAACCCACTAAACCCATTTTCTGTCCATAATGTGGTGTATTTACAGTTGAAGTCAGAATTATTAGCCCCCCTGTTTATTTTTTAATTAGTCTGACTTTAACTGTATAAGTGAAACACTTTTGCAATATATTTAGATATGATTCACAAAAAAACAACAACTGTTAATTCATTCAAAAGGCAGTGACTTGTCATTTTATGCAATAGAACTCTAAAATGTTGTAAATAATGTACATTTCCTTGCACAGACGGATCATTTTGGTTCCAAAGGTGTATCAGCACTGTATCACCAGGGGTCATAGGTAATAAGTTAGTTTTGCTTGTAGTATATGTGTGTAGGTTTTTTATCGCTTCAGTTAAAACTATTTAATATTAAAAAAAGGCACCCACATCTTGGATGGCGTGAGTGTGTATTAATTTTTAACTTTAATTATATTATATATATTTGTCAAAATATTGCTTTACAACTGCACTATCACTAATTTTGACTAGGAAAAAATAAGTAGCTGACAAGAGAAAAATATGTTCAGATTTAACCATTGCTTGTTCTTGAAGGTTAAATAAGTATTTTTAAAAAATAACTATTAGATTTAGATATGGTTCACAAAACTGTAACTTTTTTCCAACTGCACTACTGTCATTTTCTACTGTATATTTGGTGTGCTCTATTTCTATTCAATTCAGTTCCATTCATTATTATTTATAGCCCTTTTACAGTGTAGATTGTGTCCAAGCAGCTTAACATAGAAGTTCTAGTAAATTTAAACTGTCAGTTTAGTTTTCAGAGTTGAGGTTCAGTTTAGTTCAGTTCAGTGTGGTTTAATTTTCTCTGCTGAAAGTCCAAACACTGAAGAACAAATCCATCGATGCGCAGCTCCGTCCAAACCAAACAAGCTAGAGGCAAGGAACAAACTTCACCAATTGACCAAAGCGAAACAAAAAACCTTGAGAGAAGCCAGGCTCAGTTGTGCCGACTAGGTGCCGGAGGCTGGAGAATGCTGGGCTTCCATCATGGAGAAGCTGCAGGTGTGGTTTCTACTTGTCTATGTATTTATATTGAATAAAACGTTGTTAAACGTTAAAACTGTGAATTTGATTAAATGACTTAATTCATTACATTTGAATTATCAAATCAAAATTGAAAGCTAAATGGATCCCTGTACAAGATGTATTTAAATAGATTTTAACATATTTAACAATGCAATCATGACAGAATTAAATTTTCCTAACCTAAAATTTAAATTTTTCCCCATTATTACATTAAACTTCATTATATTTACTATTATCATAATATAACTACTTTGTTTACTAGATGCAAGACTTTGAAGTTAATAGACCTTATTTTCAGTCTATACCCATATCCCTTTTTGAAGCACATTCTAATAAAAGATTTTTCCCTTTCGAATAACATGGCCTGATGAATCATGCCCAATAAGACCCAGAACTTGCATTAAGGAAACAAATAGGGTCAATTCAGATTTCATGTTGAATTTAAGTGCAGTGATCTATAAAAGAGCTGTAAGCAATACAGTTTCCCTTGGCTATTCCTTATATTGCAGGATGTCAGCAATGCTCTCGCTGTGTTAGATTCTAAATCACCATGTCATGCTGCTGTAATAAAGCCAGCACAAAACAAAAGGCTTTTTCAGTACATCCAGACTTGATGCACGGTTTCACCCCACAGAACTGCTGTTGTGGAGTGAAAAACAAGCAATGTGTGATAACATGCTGGCGCGACAGTTGCCCTGACAACAGTGGTTCCATATGGTAAAAAGAGTTTTTCTGCCTAAAAAAAATATATTATAAATAAATATGAAATATATTTTGTAAGTGCGACATATTTTGTAAAATATATTTTTTAAATATATTACATTTCATATACCGTAATATAATTCAAAATGTTTATCAAGGTCAAGAAAAATAAATTTCCAATTTTATAACAAAATGTGGTTAGAAATTTAAAGTAAGCAAAAATAAATAAATAAATAAATACACTATATATAAGCACAAATTATGTACAGCTATATAAATACACATGTGATTGATTTTTCCAGTTTAGTATAAGCATTATTTAAAGCACCATAAACATTATATAAATATACTGTATATATTTCTTTTTAAATATTTGCCAAATGATGTTTAACGGAGCAAGGAAATTTTCATTATTTTCAGTATGTCTGATAATATTGTTTCTTCTGGAGAAAGCCTTATTGTTTTATTTAAGTTTTTAATTTACAAAACTTATTTTAGGGTCCAAAGTATTAGTTTCTTTAAGCTATATTTTATTCGACCGTCTACAGAACAAACCATCCCTATACAATAACTTGCCTACTTACCCTAACCTGCCTAGTTAACCTAATTAACCTAGTTAAGCCCTTTACATGTCACTTTGAGCTGTATAGAAGTGTCTTGAAAAAATATATATATAGTTGTGTGTGTGATTTTTTTTTTCCAGTATAGTGCCAGTCTAGAATATATATATATATAGTGTGTGTGTGTGTGTGTGTGTGTGTTTGTGTGTGTGTATCGTATGGGGGGTGTGCGCTATTTTTTTATATTTTAAAACACATTTGAAAATAAATATTTTTGTTTGACTATGGGGTTACTAGGATGTGGTTGTTATGATACATGATGATACAGGCTATGATACCAGGAATGGCCTCATGGTAATCATCACTATGCCAGTAACCCTGATCTGAGGTCAGAGTAAACTAAATTTACTAGCAAATGTGACAAAATCTTATTTTTCCTCAACTGATTGAGGCAACCCGCTGCAGGTGAATAATAAAAATAAATAAATAAATAAATAATAAAAATAGATAAACAAATAAATAATAATAATACAATCTTAAAAATGTTTTATCATCATAATTTTCTGGTTTATTGATTGCATTAACCCTTTATTAGGTGAAGAACCATATCCTGTTGCATGTACAACATGCATGGTAACTTCACTGAGGAAAATTACAATATATCTCTATATATATAGTCTTAATAAACCCCTTAATAACCCAGAAATACAATTTTTCCTACAAGAATTTCAATGAGTGTCATATATACTGTATAGAGTTATAAACTGCAAAAACTTTTGTATAATAAGATATCAAGATTTAAAAGTGCAAAAGACAAGCTGATTTATGATATTTATGCTTATTTACATACAAATCTAGCCCAAAAATATTTAGCTTTCTAACATATCAGAGTGAAAAGTTTTTACAGTGGAGATTTTGGGAATCTCTTTTTATAACATTTTTAAAAATTATCTATAACATTACAAACAGCAAGAAAATTGGTGTACTAAAAAGCTGTATATCATTAAAAGCCTTATCAGTAAAACCTTCAACATACAGATATGGTGGTGCTGAAGTAGATTAATAGCTCAATGCAGGAGAAAAACACTCATTTTAAGCCTTTAAAATTATGCACTGAAGTTGAAATCTACACACACAAATTGAAAAAGTCCACTAAAACAAATACTTAAAGTCCATGTCTACCAGAAGTTGCTGAGACATTTATTTCAGTATGTTGATGTACTTCCAACTGAAACAGAATATTGAGTGGGGGCGGGGCTTTCTTTTTGTGCATCATCCCCTCGTAGCAAACAAACAGTAAGAGGGGTGTGATTAGGAATATTGTAGCTGAAGCCATTAAACTGACATCATCAGAGAAGGACCGGTACTCCAAACATGGACGCAAATGGTAAATTTTGATTGAAAATTACCAAAGCAAACTTTTTTTTTCAAGATGATTAACTTGCACTGACTAAAGAATAACAATGCTTGCCAGCAAATTTTGATTTTACATGGACTCCACAAAATGCATTGTAGAATGAAGTGTATTCGCTTCTATGACCAATCAAAAAGCCCAAAATAGTGCATGTACAGGTATGATAGAGCAGTGTTTATCTCCTCACCTGGTGTGATGGCGACTCCATTGCCGTTAATGACGGGTCTCTCCTCCTCCTCCTCCTCGGGAGGCTCAATGCCAGCCTTCTCCATGTTGCTGACGGACTTGTTGCGCCTGCGTTTGCCCTGTGATGTGGGTGTTGCTCCGGGCAGCAGCTGCTCTGCTACATTCAGCAGCAGTGGACTGGGCTCCGCCGGGGGCTTTGGTGTGCCGTAATAGTTATCTGTCAACAATCCAGAGTTAAGAATGTAAGATGTGCCATCGTGACGATGGCAACTTTTACAATGAAGATGTTGTGGCTTGTGTGTTGTTCAGCAGCTTCTCAGGCAATAAGTGAGGCAACAGTTTTCCATTAGGTGTTTTTTTACTTAACAATACTTTGGGGACAACATTGTTTCCAGAACTGAGCAACATCTGCTTCTATCACCATTTAAGGACTTCCTGCACCATGACTTGGATATGTTCATCAAGTAAATCGTGCTTGCTTGTTTATTTATTTATAATATATATAAAATTTAAAATATAAAATTTATATAAATAATATTGTGTCTGTATTTAAATAAAATAATTAAAATAAATAAATAAATTAATTAATAATAATAATAACAACAATAATAATCATAATAATAATAATATTACAAACTTAGTGAACATTTATCACCATAATTTTTAGCTAACACTTTAAAAAGTAAATAAAATAAAATAAATAACAAATAAATATTGAAATACTTATTGTGAATGGTACATTTTTAAATAAAAAAGTGAATAAATTTATTTATTACTATTTTTTATATATATTTTAAAACCTAGTAGTTTAGATTATGGTTGAACATTCATTCATATATTTTAAATCATAAAAATAAACATGCATTTCTGATTTTAATACTCACAGTTCTGACTTCATTCTCAAAATTGTGAGATATAAACAATTTAAATACCATATCTCTGACTTTATAACATGTTATTGCCACTTTATGTTTCAAAACTCCTAAGAAAAAAATATGTTCCAGTTTACATGTTGTGTAAACATGTTGCATTTTGTTTCTTGCCATTTCGTTTTGAAACTCACAATTTCAAGAATTTTTTTATTTTTATTATTTATCAAAAAAGGAAACTATAGACATGTCCCTACAGTAAATTCCTTAATCTAAAATCATATATAGTTTATATATATTTTATACTTCATACTGAGTTTAAAGTCGGCCTGAATTGTATAGAGACTTTTTTTTATTTCAGTATGTTGATAAACTTCCGACTAAAACTGACAATGAGTAGAAGGCTTTCTTTTTGCACATCATTCCCTCATAGCAAACAAATGCTAAGAGAGGTGTAGCTAGCAAGATCATTAGTCAATTATCTAAATAATAACAATATGCCCTAGCAAAATAAACTTTGTAATTTTTGGACCATTTTACATAAAATACCTTACTATTAAAATGCATCTAAGCATGTACTATGTGATAAGTCTTTGGCTTCCGACTACTCTGTATCTAATGGATTCTAGTACTGCTCAGTCAATGAAAATCTTGTCTCTGCAACCAAACCGAAAGGCCTGAAATCTCCATTGGAGCAGGGCTGCAACACCTGTACAGCAGCACACAAAAACTGTTGCTCAAAGGAGTGAGTGCTGTTTACAGCCTTAGTGAAAGTGCCATGTTTCCCCTGGGATGAACAGGCTCTAGAGGAGAGCAGGGCGTCTGCTGGAGCTCAATTCAATTCTCTTCGGGTCACTGCTTGACATGATGCTACAGCGCAACAGCTGGAAATCAAAATAATAACTCAATAATACCGCACATGCTTTCAGTAAATGTGTTTCTGAATGTGTTCAAATATTTTTTAAGGTTTCTAAAATAAGACTGTGTATTAAGTAAAATGGTTGTAATTTTGAACTCTGTATTTAAAAGCTACATTGTAAGCTAGTTAGCATCTTCTCACGACTTCTTCAATTACTTTCATTAAAGTCAATTTTTGCCAGTTACTTACTGTTACCAAACCATTACAGTGACTAGTAGTATTCAAAAAGCCCGGTAAGGTCTAACAGTGTAGTTAAGCCTTTAAATTGCACTTGAATACTAAGATCTTGCAAAATAACAAGTAAAATATTATGTACTTTCAACAAGACAAATACAAAAAAACTTGTCATTAGAAATTAGTTATTAAAACTAGTATTATTTTATAAATGTGAAAAATGTATTCTCTCTATTAAAAAAGCACCTGCGAAGAATCAAACAGTATGGCTTTTGAATAGTGTAAATCCATCATACTGTATATCCAACTTAATCTTACATGAATTCATAACTTTTTGATTTAGACGCTAATTCGTATGAATTGTACGATCTCATTCATACAATTTACTACGATTTGCTTATCTCCCAATGATGGTTGGATTTAGGGGCGGGGTGTCACGCCTCCTTTTTAAAACTGTACATTTTTGTACAATCGAATTCGTACTAATTAGCCACTAAACTGACAAAACGATGGTATAGCTCACTTATGTACCGGTTATTAAAAGTTTTTCTTTTTTAAATCTCTTCATTATGGCAAAAAAGTTTTGAGACATGACGAAAATCAAAAATCACTATTATAAACCGTTAAGAATCGACTATAGATTGACATATTTTACAAATGGAACTTCTCTTCGGTCTCTTTCAGGCACTAGTTTAGAGACAAAACTTTAGAGAGAGAGAGAGAAAGAGAGAGAGAGAAAGAGAGAGGGGACATGATGTATATTTATTCAAAGGATGATGTTGTTGGACTTTTGAAGTGAAGAAAGGCTAAGCTCACTAGACCCCAGAGAATCAGACCCCCTTCAGGGTGTTTTTGAAATCACGCTGTGAATTAACTACAGTTACCACCAATACCAACGTCTGCTCTCTGCTATTCTCACAGACTCTAAAAAATCTGATTATCGCTAAAAGATTATGAATGAAATAGCATTACCACATAAGCTTAAGAAAAATGTGTGTTTTTTTTTATTTCCAAACACAATCTGTTACCATTGGGGAACACACTGTGGCTCATTACTGAATGTAATAAATGACTTGTGGTTTAGTGGATGCAGATAAAATGTTGTGATGAAGTGCATGCTAGCAAAATCTGTATTTTTCTTATGTCTGTGAGCAAGAAAACAACTCAGACAGTTGTAGGAGTTAATAGTAGCTATTTAAAGTAAGATCTAAGCAAATGCTATATTACTGAATACAATAAGGTATCCACCAAAAGTACGATTTTAGCACCTTTTGTAATCAAATATACATTTTGGTGTTTCAGTCATTTTTCATGCAATTTCCCAGGTAAAATTCAGATTAAATTGACTGAATATGAACCCAAATATTATGTAGTTCTCTCATTCTGTGTATAGGTCAATGGGTTTGCCTTTTTTACTGCATTTTGATGTTTCAGTCCAATATTTCTAGGCAATCCTTGGAAAATTGTTGGAAGTGTCAGCGTATTTTACTTGTTTTTTTATTGTTTTTTATATGTTTTTTTTTTTTAACAAATCTTAATGTGCCAAAAAAGTAAATAAAAATTTAAAAACAAAAATAAATGAATAAAAACACCAAATGAAAATATCAGCAGTGGCTGTTTTTCTTTCTAAGTGTGACAAATCCCACATTCTGCCTGTTGGATTTTTTGCTGTTTCTAATACATCCTGCTGTTTCAACTTTTTTCATGCAGTATCTTAAAATTCATCTTAACATTTGTAAACAAAAACCAGTATGCTAATATTTCGATCCCAAAATAATAGCATTCTTCTACAAAAGTCTAAGCTTTTTCTTTTGGATCCTGGAGTTTCAACCCATCATTGTTTGTATGCAAATTTCTAACATGTGTCTAACAATAAGTGGAGAGTAGGGCTATTGATTTTTTCATACTAAACTTTTAAATAGTTTACTTATTTAAAGGAAGCCTATAAGATTATTTAGCTGACTTTATTTGCAAACTGATATTTCAATCCTTTTTTTTATTACACCCTGAAAATGCCTCAAATCAATTTAGAAAGCCAGTGATAATTACTGTAGATCCTAAAATATAATACAATTATATTGTATATACCCAGGCTAATTATTGATATGTACACCTTTATACATTTCTGGAAAATGCGAAATACATCCCAGGAGGTGCTTTTGGCTGTTTTTGTTTTCACAAATTCACTAGAGGCTGCTGTGTATGCATTTTCAGATCTCAAATTTCTTTCGCAAGTACCATTCCTGGCTGCTGTTCTCACATAAATCTACTGGAGGCCGCTGTCAACTGACTGACCGACGATTACCCCACCCACCGCCTTTCCTAAACCCAACCGATAGTGTTTTCAAAAGTACTGATTGACCCACCCATTACCTTCCCTAAACCCAATCAAGTGTTTTCAAAAGCAATTCAGCAAAAGAAAAGCCCTCGCAGCTGCCTCATTTTTACCACATTTTCAGATCTTACCACATTGTCACCCTGTTATTTACTTATTTCATTTTTTTCCCTTATTTTTTGTTTTACATGCTTTCTGGAGCCATTCTTTGCCAGACTCGAATCTCGTTGTCGTGGTCAACTTATCTCTGCGTCTTAAGTCCGCCAACGTATGCGACTAGCGGTACAGCTGTCTGTATGGAGATAAGTGGTCAGCCCATAGCACGAAAACAAATAGAAGGTGTCGGTGGCGTCATACCGCATCGTAACGTGCGTTTTAAAGACAAAATGCAGCCATATGTAGCTCTGGCCTCATAATTCATGCTCTCCAGAAATGTATATGGGGATATGTTTTCACAATGAGCCTGTATTACAACATATACAATTATATATAATTTTTAACCCTTTATGTTATTTGGTCAAGAATACTGCCCTACAAAAGCAAAAGACAGAAACTACACAATTGGGTGTAATTGATTTAAAGGCTAAAATAGACTTTGTGACATCTGTTCTGTCTTGTGACAAAGTCTCCTGGTTAAATTTTGTCTTGTATCAGAGAAAAAAAAGATTGCCAAAATAGCAGTAACTACAAAATGTGTTCCATTGTTTACGTAGATACCGTACTTTGCTTTTGTTGGGCAGCATATATGGTACATTTACTGACAGGTTTTTGTTTTGTTTCGTTATAAAGGTTTAAAAGTTTTAAAACAACCCAAAGTAACCCTCCAGACTTGGTCTATTGAGTCTTTCAATGACTACCCTATAAAGGGTTAAGCAGACATTGTGGGGAACGTCTGTAGTCCCAAACCAAAGTTTAATACTTGGGTAGTGTGGTTAATTAGTTTAGGGATTGCTCAAATCTCTAATCACAGCAATGAGATATTGGGACAAAAACTATAACTTGAAATCTGATTGTGAAACTCAGTTGACGTACCTTCATAAGTTCCACTTTCCAGCAAAGCTCCACTTCTCTCTAACTCCACAAAACGCTCAACGGTCACAAAATTATAGTCTACTCCAGGAACTTCTCCTTCTCTGGGCTGCCTGGTTGTACCTGCAGAGAAAAGAGAGAGATATTTCAGGTCAGTGAGCTTTAGCTTTGAGCCATGGGCTTAACAATGAAACCGCCAGGGGTCTTTGTATACTTAAAAACTGCCAGCGGGTACAATTTATGAATGCCGTGTTGATATGGCTAAAACATCTAGGCTTCTATAGAAGCCCTAAGCAAAACTTTGTGAGGTCAGTGCATTAAAGACTGGGTGAACCGGAAGTTACTGAGACTTTTAATTTAGTTTGTTGATGTACTCCCAATTAGCTACCAAAAGCGGAGCTTTCTTTTTGTGCATCTTTACAGAGAAGGACCACCACTTCAAATAAAAAAAGCAAATGGTCATATTTTGATTGAAGACTACCAAATTACATATTACATTTTGATCCATACATATTCCACATCCACTTTACTAAAATGGCCAAAATTCTTCCAAACCCCTGAATCTGTTCTTTTAGAGTTCCAGGTTCATTGTGTGTTTATATATATATATATATATATATATATATATATATATATATATATATATATATATATATATATATATATATATATATATATATATATATGTATATAGTAAAAAAGTCAATAAAAATAAAGAAAATGAAATGATAGGATAAATGTAATCCACATCCACATGTAAAATCACTCCCCAAAAAAAGAGATATTTCTTTAGAAAACAATGGTCTGAACATGTATTACATATTATGAAATTTTGATTCTCAGTTTTTATTATGCATTTTAGGAGGTAAAATTTAAATCAAACACCGCCAAACTGGTGTCAACTGGTGATCATGTTTGGTATAACAAATCTTACTCAATGCTCTCTGTTTTCACTTGAAATTTAAACTAAAATTTAACAAAATATTTTGTTTAGATTTTCAGGAAAAACACGTTTTGTAAAATACATATCTTAAATCTGTTCACAAAAGTACTGAACATTTGCAAAGTTACAAATGCAATATTCACATATCTGTCTAAAAACCACATTACAAAATTGTTTTTATTCATTCATTCATTCATTCATTCATTCATTCATTCATTCATTCATTTACCTTCGACTTAGTCTCTATTTCAAGATAAGGTCAAGGTCACCACAGCGGAATGAACCGCCAACTATTCCAGTATAAGTTTTACGCAGCAGATGCCTTTACAGCCACAACCCCGTATTGGGAAACACCTATACACACTCATTCTCACAACCACGAGGAGACACGACAACATGTGCAGAACATGCCAACTCTACACAATCGGGACTCGAACCAGTGACCTTCTTGCTGTGAAGCTGCAGTGCTAACCACTGAGACACCATGGCACCTAATCTGGTTATATTTTAGCAATTTTAACAACAGGGAATTGTAAATAACATAATTAACAAAATGTATTAAAGCCTAATGATTTGGATAGATTAGTTGAAAATCTGCTGTGTACATTTGAAAAACAACCATGGGTTATTTTACCCCTGTGGCGGTTCTAGTGTTAATCAGCAGCTAGAAAAGCTCATCCAACAAAACAAAGGATTTTATAGCAAAGCTCAACATGAGCCAAACAGAACAGGTGCCTGGCTAACAGGTTCACTTAATTCTTACACACAGTATACGCTATCTGACAATCTGTCAATGATAGAAAAACAACAGAGAATAGGGAAGGGAGAAAAAAAGGGATTTTGAGGTTTAAAGGTGAAAATAATGATGCAACCTCGTAAAAACAAACTGAAACATTCAAGCCTGAAAAAATACACTCAGATAAACTCGAAGAAAAGTCGATCCCTGCAGGATATAGTGATTAGTGATTATGTGATATGCGGTAAACATTCAATTTATTCATTTTCTTTTCAGCTTAGTCCCTTTATTAATCTGAGGTCGCCACAGCGGAATGAACCGCCAACTTATCCAGCACGTTTTTTTTTACGCAGCGTTTTTTACACAATCTCACTAAGGCTGCACAATATATCATTTCAGCATCGATATCGCAATGTGATCATTCGCAATAGTCACATCGCAAGTATGCGCAAAATGGATTACAATTGATCATTTTGCAAGTGTTTTTTGAGGCCTGAGATTGTGTGAGGGTTTTAAAAGCTAATAAATGTACCATTTGTAACTTTGAAAAATGAATAAAATTACTTTAATTTAATTGTTTATAAAACGAAGACTATGCAAAATTATTTTACATTTGATTATTCAATTAATGTATGCCTGAATACATTTTGACTCTTTAGAAATCAATAAAATGCTGTATATTTAATTTGCATATTATTGGTTTTTGAATTTATCTAAGCTTAGATTGTTTATTATACAAATATTGCGCTCAATAATATAAATATTTTGCTTATTATACAAGACTTATTGTGCTCAAGTGCTATACAAATAAACTTGAATTATATTTTATGCACTCCCCTACAGAATCTTATTCAACTCATCTAGTTCATATCGCAATATATCGCAGAAAAAAAAAAGAATAAATAAATAAATTTGTAACTTATTCATATGAATTCGTACAATCTCTCTTTAATATGATTTCCTTATGCTCCAATGACAGTTGGGTTTAAGGGAGGGGTTGGATGCCTTCTTTGTAAAATTATACATTTTCGTACGACTGAACTCATGCGAATTCATACAAATTAGCCACTAAACTGACAAAATGTAAAATAGTTACGTTTCCTCATGAGATCAGGCTGGAAACTTGGATAATTCACCCTAAATTGAAAATTTACTTACTTTTTACTTACTTTACTCCCTTAAGTGGTTATAACAACAAATACGTTATTTTATAGAAAGCATGTAACCTGTAGCCATTGACATCCATAGTATGAAAAATAAATACTATATGGAAGACAATGGCTACAGATTTTCACAGTTGTCTTAAAGAAAACACAACTTTTTGGTTTATAAAAGAGGGAAACTCAAACAAGTATGTTACAAGGAAAAGGAGAGTAAATTATAAGAGAATTTTCAGACACATTTACTGTATCACATATGGAACCACAAAAGCAAAATTTCCTCTTCAAAATTTTGCTAAATCTTGAAATTTAGTTAAATCTTAAATCTACTTTCACAAGTCGCTATGCAAAATAGAATAAACAAATAAATAAATAAAAAACTGCTTAAACTACCTTTTTCTGTATTGTTTCAGAATTTAACCGCTGTCAGAACATCTTATCACCAGGTTGATGTGGTTAGAGGACCTGCTAAACAAACTACACCAGCTAAAAAAAAGTAATTTACTGTACTACAATCACCAAAAAAACAAAATTAAGATTACAAAAGGAGCAGTTTAAATAGTATGCACATGTAGCAAGGGGTTGATGTGCTAAAGCGAGGTGTTAATGTGGATATATCAGAGCTGTAATTAGCCAGCCAGGAGATTGTGTTAATTGCTGTGAGTTGAGAAAAGCACTGGGGTGTTTCTAAAGCTCACTGCGGGATGACCAGAGCTAAACATCTGAGAGACCGCATGCTCAGTGACATGATGAACTCATTTACTTATGTGGATCTGTTTATTTAAAAAAAAAAAACAGAAACACACACACACATTAAAATGGTAATTGAACAGAGTGGTTTGTATTATCAAGTAGCTTTTATAAATAAGTTTACAGTTGAAGTCTGTTTTCCATCCATCCATCCATCCATCCATCCATGCATGTTCTCCTCGCGTTCGCATGGTGTCAGGACTTTTCATCTTGATGACAATGAATCTTCACTGACATGAATAATAGCGGTTTTGAGGTAAGAGCTATCCATTTTGTGCAAGTGACACGCTTTTGCAGGTTATCAGCAAGGTTTTGCAGTTTGTACTAATTGTTTTGAGAAATGCATTAACTGTTATGCAAATATAAATAGTGCTGTGAGAAATGCACTAAAGCAATGAGAAAAACTGTTATTTTAGCACAATACACAATGTTTTAACTTCAGAATTTTTCAAAATAATAATAATAATTTGGTGGAATAATTTGGTGGAAAATTGAAAATGTGCCCAACACAATTGTCCTTTACAGCAAAAACAACGAAAAAAAAAATGACAATATTTTTATAAGAACATTTTCAGAAATGACATCAGACTTACATAATAAAACATATAAAAACATTACTCAAACCACAACCTTATAAATCCTGTGAATCCAGAGAAACTGAGAACGAATCTCTTAATGTTTTCCATACTTGTATAATCATTAAATGATTCATTTTGACTCTCTTTCACTGTACTGACTTTAATAACATCGCTTTACTCAATCCCTTCTTATAAACCCACATAACACACAGCATTAAAACCAAACACCACGAAAAAGTCCTGCTCCCACTAAGTGTCCAAATACAGTCTGACATTTACAAACACTTTCCTCCATTACCTGACCTCCTAACTGCCAGTTCGGGGCAATCAAAATTCAACCAAAGCAGTTTAAAAACCCCATCTGACAGCAGAGATTGGCGCTCCACTGAGACGACGACATCAGCCGGAGCCTGGCACAGTCATCAAGCTGTCAGCAGTGTTTGAAGCTCACATCATCTCTCATCATCTATCAGTCAATAGCTACACAATGACAACAAGCCCTAGAGCCAGGCGTCTCTCCACAACGATAGCCTATCATTCAGAGTCATGCTGGACATGCTAATGACTGGTCACTGGAAATGGGGGGCAAATGGGATGTTTCCAGCTTTCGTGACCCGTGTCTATGAGCAGTCGAGGTCTGACAGGAGGAAGAAAAAAATGGGAAGATCTCACAATGGCTCCGACTACCCGAGCGTGTAATAGCATAATGAAAAGAAAATGAATCCACTACGAGCATTAAATCGCTTGCCAACGTGGCCTTAAAGCTCAATTTGTTGATAAATCATATTTTAAATGAGAAAAGCAAATTGCTGGAAGATGGATCGATCCTCACGCCAGTGATTTCTTCTAGTTTGGCAGAAAGGCTTTTGTTGATGAGACGCGCATCAATCTGTTTATCTTGATCTGATACAAACTGGAACAAGAACGCTAGCAGAAAGGATAACTCTTCTCGCCGG